TGACCTCTTGCATGTGCTGAGAGCAGGGAAGGTAGGATCAGGTGCAGAGAGGCAGAAATGGGTGTGGGGAGTTTCTCTGTGTACATCCTTCATGGGGGATGAGCTATTAGAGAAGCTCGTGGTACTCAAGGTCTGAAGGCCTAGCGAAGGTAAAACAAGAAATCTGACTGTAGTTTTCATTTTTAAAGAAACTTCTGAAAAAATAAAGCAAACTGAGAATGATGTTGACTGAGTTTAGTTGAGATAGGTGGAGATCTAGTATGGCAGGGGGGGCAACAGGAACATTTTAATGAGAAAATGAAAGAATATCCAGATAATATGCTTATGGTAATACAGCTCTACTCAGATTAGGGAACAAATGATCAATAACTTAATAACATCTTTTATGGTGTGTCTGTAAAGGCAATGTGTCCTCACCATGAATATGTTATACAACTTAAAATCCATTTTTTTTAAAAATGTACTTACAAATCAATACAATCAATAAAACCACAACAACACCGTAAAAGTACACCAGTATATGTTTTGGGTTTATATTTATGTTAGAATTAAAATATTTTGGGGTAATCAGATGCATTCACTTTTTTATTATGGTTCAAAAATATGCAGGAGATACTCGGCTGATACATAGCAGCGGCCCAGCTATATCTGCAATATCAACAATGTGTATTCTAAAACGACGGTGACTAGAGGAGACAATTAAAAAAAATCTTTTAAACAACTTGTTTGTTGTATGAAGGCCTTAGATATTAATCTGGGACCTTTAGTGAGACGTCTTAAAAGCTTTAGTTATTGTAACAGTTGCAGATGTATTTTTCTAGCATTTCATCACTCTTTTTGAAAGTCTTTTGATACAGATTTCCACTATACAGATGGTGAAAATTGTAAGATGCAATTAGTGTTTTTAATGGCTCAGAGAAGTACTCAAATAATTAAATAGTAAGACAGGTATATTTATACTAAACAATGAATTCATTCAGAATACAATTTCATTCGACATGAATGTCTGTGAAAGATTCTGCCACTGAGAATTATGCTCAAAGCTTTCCTGAACCAAGAGTAAAAAAAAGCATAAATGAAAGGATTGAAACTCGAGTTCATATAACCAAACCAAACCAGGGCATCAGTCAGTGTGGGTGGGATGGAATAGCCAATGAAGGGGTCCATAATATTGCAGAGGAAAAAAGGGGTCCAGCAGATGAGGAAAACTCCAACCACCACTGTCAGGGTGTTTGCCTTCTTTCTTTCTTGTTTCCTAGAGACTGCAGACCCATTTCCATCCTCCACCTTAATCTGCCGTGTCAGATCTTTAATTGATCTGGCCTGACGTCTTGCTACCATGTAGATCTTGAGGTAAATGCCCAACATGATGAGGCCAGGGAGGAAAAATGAGAAAATAGTAGAGAATGCAGCAGATGATGGGCTGAAAAATACTGTGCATCCTCCGACACACTGCACCTGCGACTCAAAGAAGTGCTCACTGCCTTTCAGGTTGAGGTTTGAGAAGATCATCCCATAGGCGAAGATGGCTGGGAAGACCCAGCTGGTTATGATCATCAGCAGAGCAGTGACAGAGTTGACTATGGAGCGATACAAAAGTGGGGTGCAGACAGCAAAGTAGCGGTCTACAGAGATGAAAGAGAGGTGGAAGATGGAGGAGGCACTGAGCATGACATCCATGCTAGAGTGGACCTTGCACACAAAGTCTCCCAGGTACCAGCAGCCGTAGACCGACCGCATCGCACTGCACGGCATGATAAAGGCCCCCAAAAAGAAGTCACAAACTGCCAGTGAGAGAATGAGGCAGTTTGTGGTGGTGTGCAGCTGTTTAAAATGCGCTATAGATGTTATGACCAGAAGATTCCCAGTTACTGTGACCAGTATAGCAAAGCTCATAAAAACAAACATGGAAAACTGAAGGCTTAGAGGCTGGACGTTCTTCTTGCATGATCCGCTCACAGTGTCATAGCAGTACTGTATTTCTGTATGTACATTGTTGATGTGATTTGAGCTATTTGAGAAGTACATACTACTCAAGTTCTGAAGGCCTATCAAAGGTAAAACAACAGACTTAAATTTGAGTGTAGTATTGATGCACAAAGAAACTTCCAAAATGATTTACACATTATTGGAGCTTATTACCAAAGAGAAGGACTTACATTTCACATTATAAGACCTTGAATATCTATATGAAACTATAGCTTTTTTTGTCAACAAAAATAGCCAAATAGCCAAAAATACTGTCTGCAAAAAGTAGTCTGATTATGTTTTAATCACTCCACACCTTATCAGTAGAAATAAACCAAATTTTCTCTTATTGGTTAAGTATTTTATATTATAAAGCAATAATGTTATGACCAGTAAAGAAAATTCAAACCATAAGATTTGCAAAACAAATATTCCTTCTTGCTTGCCTAAAATGTGATGTGGATGTCACAGATGAAATGACCAGGACTGGAGATACCAGCAAATGTTATGTTTATGTGTTGTAAATGACCATAAAGTTTTTCCTGAAGAATTTTATTCCAAAATAATGAAATGCTGTTAATTTTGAGACTTCTGATCCTTTAAGAGATAAAATGAATGGCTAAGCAAAACTAATAATTTCAGCTCAAACTAAAAATTTCAGCTTTGAATCCAGCAATGCAGCCTGTAATCACAAAATTATAGCACTGAAGATGGATTCCAAAAATTAAATTTACATATATAATTGCTCACTCACCTCTCACTCTCTACAGTGCCTATCTGCATGGGAGTTTAGCCAAAATCTCTGTAAGGAGCACCTGAGACAAGGAGAAACTTCTAGACTCAGGATCACACACAAATGCGGTCATTATATTGACACGTACTGTGGAAACATCCATTGGTTCCCAGCAATTAAGCTGCTTGCTCATCATTGTGAATCATAGAGCACATAAAGGCCACCTATCGGATCACATGTTTACTCTGCAAACAGATCTATTTTTGAGGCAAGAATTAATAGAGAAAAAATATATATATGCCAGTCAAAGGCAAATATACCAAGT